AGCACCACATAAGCAAAAAAAGCCGGAAGTGGCGCTGTGGCTCAAGTGGTAGAGCGCTAGCCTTGAACTGAAGAGCTGAGAGACAGCGCCCAGGCCCAGAGTTCAGGCCCCACATCCAGACCCCCAAAAAAAAAAAAGAAAGAAAGAGAGAGGAAGAAGGAGGAGGAGGAAGAGGTGGTAGGAAGGAAGGAAGGAGCGTCACAAGCCAGCTGCAGTGAACTTGGTGGTGGATAGGAAGGGGTTTCAGGGAAATTGGGGACTCATAGAGTGAGTAAATTGGGGCTAGGACTATGCCTGGAAGGAAACTGAGAAGCAAAGGAATAAGTAGAGAGAGCAGGGAGTTTCAGCAGCTTGGATTGGAAGAATTGAGGGCCAATGAAACATGGGGGGGGGTCAAGGATTAGGTCAAGGAATTAGAAAGGCATGAGAGATCTGGAGAGTGCCTGCATAGTGCATGAGACTAGTCTATCCCACAGAAACCAAGGAACCACGGCAAGAATAACAAAGAGGGCCAGAATTGAGGTGGGGAAACTGGGGAACACGTTGAGGAACAGACTGGCAAGTGACAGAGCAAGCATGTGTGTCCTGGCGGGACTGTTGCCAGCTGAGGTCATCCTGGTACTGAGAGCCAAGGACTCTATTAGTCTCACCTTGCCTGGGGAAGGGACAAAAGGAGTCCCAGTCTTGGGCTTTTCTGGGGTTTCAACCATGTCTTAAGTTCTCTATGTCCTGCTGGAATCAATGACAGGAAGGGGCTCTAGTTCCCCGCCCCCTCCATCAGCCTCTTTCCTAGTGCCATCAATTATTCATCAGCACAGATCCCGGCCCTCCTGGCAGGGTAGGCTGGTCCCTCCCTCCATGCCCCGCCCCAATTCAGCCACACTGCCATACAAGCTCTGGTGAGCAAGGACAGCCAGCCAGGCAGTCTTCACTGCCTGGCTCAAGGGCTCGGTGGCTGTCCCTGCTAGACCCTGCCTGAGATCACATCACCCAGCCCTCCGCATCTGCCTCCTGGCAATCTCCCAGGGCCAGGAAGCCCCCTGGAGAAGATGCCCATCCAGATCTTCTGCTCTCTGTCTTTCTCCTCGGGAGAGGAGACCCCTGGGTCCTTGGGAGATGTGTGGGGTCTCCAGCAGCAGCAGCAGCAGAGGCAGAAGCAGCGGGACAACTCAGAATCTGAAGAGGAGGAAGAAGAGAAGGAAAAGGAGGTGTCTGGGAAAGAGGCCAATGAGGGTGCTTTACCTTTGGATTTGGTGGCCTTTGCCAACAGCTGCACCCTCCATGGGGCCAACCACATCTTTGTGGAAGGGGGTCTAGGGCCAAGGCAGGCTCTGTGGGCAGTGGCCTTTGTCATAGCACTGGGTGCCTTCCTCTGCCAGGTAGGGGACCGCGTTGCTTATTACCTCAGCTACCCGCACGTGACGCTGCTAGATGAAGTGGCCTCTACCGAGCTGGCCTTTCCCGCGGTCACCCTCTGCAACACCAATGCCGTGCGGCTGTCCCAGCTCAGCTACCCTGACTTGCTCTACCTGGCACCTATGTTGGGGCTGGATGAAAGTGATGATCCTGGGGTACCCCTTGCTCCACCTGGGCCAGAGGCTTTTTCTGGGGAGCCCTTTAACCTGCACCGTTTCTACAATCGCTCCTGCCACCGGCTGGAGGACATGCTTCTCTATTGTTCCTACTGCGGAGGGCCCTGTGGCCCTCACAACTTCTCTGTGGTGAGTGGGGCCCATACCTAGCACATTAACCCCCAAGACTGTCTTCCAGGATTCTCCCTGACCCTCACCTCCCGGGGCCCAGGACCTTGGTCTATGAGGTCAGCTTCTGATCTGTTGGTGACTGCCAGTACTGGCCAGTTGTTAACTATTTTTGATTATCACCCTTTGGGTAGATGGTAAGGCAAGAGCCATTTGGTCTTTGGGGTGGCAGGGAAGTAGGGGGTTTGGTCCCATCATTACTCCACCCCACTCCTGGTCAAAAACTTCTACAGCAGGGACTTGTGAAGTGTGTGTGTTACTCGGTCATCTGTGTGTTTACCTGTCTCAGTGAATACAAGTTTCCTCTAAATCCAATGGCCTCTAGCTGTAAGCAGTAGGGACCTTTCTCCCAGAATCATTTTTCCCCCTTGGCCTTCCCACCCAGAGGTCTAGGGTTCTGTTAAGGGACCAACTGCCACCCTCTCTTCTCCCCAGTTCAGCTTCCAGTTCTCTCTGGCCTGACTCCTCTCTAGCCCCTCCAGGGTGCTGACTTTTCCTCCCTACACACACACCCCCCAATCATCTGATGCCAGCTTCCTCTCCAATGTAGGAACTGGTAGGTGTCACTTCAGTCCAACCTCAGTCTTTGGATGGATGCAGACATACAGGAAACTGGGAGTTTTTGGCCACTGTGCCTCAGAGAGGCCAGGAGAGGGTTAACCTGTCTTCCTTGTAGTAGGAAGGTAGAACAGATAATTCTATCCTAGAACCACCAGGGGGCAGCAGCGATCCACTGCCCAACAGCCCCGCCCACAGAGCCAGGGAGCCTCAAAAACCTTGTCCCTCACCACCCCAAATGGAGAGTAGGTGTGTGTTCAGCCTGTGGCTGCATGCTCCAAACCTAACAGTGGCTCTGGGAGGCTATAGGGAACTCTTAGAGTTCTTCCTGTGTTTTATCTCTCTCGATTCACTCTAAAAATATGGGAATGTTCTCTGATTTTCAGTTCCGTACTGGAGGGGAACAAAGAAAGCTGTAGGTAGACAGAAGAGTCAAATGCTACTTCCCAGTTATACCCACTCACCCTGCTTGTTCCTATGTCACCATCTAGCAGTAGTTCTTTTGTGGGAACATTGAGGAAGTTCATAGGAAAAGAATTAGTTCAGGGCTGGGAATGTGGCTTTGTGGTAGAGTACTTGCCTAGCATCCACGAAGCCCTGGGTTCGATTCCCCAGTACCATATAAAAAGCCAGAAGTGGCACTGTGGCTCAAGTGGTACAGTGCTAGCCTTGAGCAAAAGAAGCTCAAGGGCAGTGCCCAGGCCCTGAGTTCAAGCCCTAGGACTGGCAAAATAAAAAGAATTAGTTCAATCTTTGAACTAATTTCAAGCTTTGAAATCAGGGCTATGATAAGAGCTACTGTGGGGCACAGAAGGAAGAGAAGACAAAAACTCCATCTCATGGCTGGGATATCCTCTGATACCTTCAAACTCTGCAAGAGCTTTACCAACATTCCATGTCTTGTTGTTTAGTCCTGAGTGGTGTGGGAAGAGGTGCTGGGCATGGATGAGGATGGTTCTTGGCATGGGAACTTGGACAGCTTCAGGTTCCATTGATAATGGGACAATGGTGGACAAAAAGGGCTGATGGCTGGAGGAAACCAGAAAGCTCAGCTTTTCTTTATCCTTTTGGTGTGTGTGTGTGTGTGTGTGTGTGTGTGTGTGTGTGTGTGTGTGTGTGTGTGTACTGGGCCTTGAGCTCTCGCCTGGGCTTTTTCACTCAAGGCTGGTACTCTACCCCTTGGTCACACCTCCATTTTTAGCTTTTTAATGGTTAATTGAAGCGTCTCAGGGACTTGTCCATTCAGGTTGGTTTTGAATTGCGATCCTCAGAACTCAGCCTCCTGAGTAGCTAAGATTATAGGCTTGAGCCAATAGCATTTGACCCAAAAAGCTTAGTTTTGAAGGGCTTAGGTTTAGAGGCAAGGTCTTGGGAAGAACAGGAGTTCTAGTGGCTGGGGTAAAACACTGAAGAGAAGCACTATTTCAGAGGCCTCAGAGGTCAGGCATAGACTCTTGATGGTGGAGGTGTTCATATTAGAATATTGGCAAGAGGGGCTGGGAAGGTGGCTCAGTGGTAGAGTGCTTGCCTTGCATGCCTGAGGCCCTGGGTTAGATTCCTCAGCACCACATAAGTAAAAAGAAAAAAGCTGGAAGTAGCGCTGTGGCTCAAGTGGTAGAGCGCTAGCCTTGAGCTGAAGAGCTGAGGGACAGTGCCCAGGCCCAGAGTTCAGGCCTCATGACCACAAAAAAAAACCCCACAAATATGTATATATATATATATATTATATATATATATATATATACATATACATATATATATGCAAGAGAAAGAATGCCACTTTATCCAGGCACCAGTGGTTCTTGTTTATAATCCTAGCTACTAAGAAGAGTGAGATCTGAGGAACATGGTTTGAAGCCAGCCTGGGCTGGCTTATTTCTTATCTCCAATGAATCACCAAAACACTTGAAATGGAGCCGTGGCTCAACTGGTAGAGTGCTAGCCTTGAATAAAAACAGCTCAAGGAGTGGCTGGGAAGGTGGCTCCGTGGTAGAGCGCTTGCCTTGCATGCCTGAGGCCCTGGGTTCGATTCCTCAGCACCACAGAAGCAAAAAGAAAAAAGCCGGAAGTGGTGCTGTGGCTCAAGTGGTAGAGTGATAGCCTTGAGCTGAAGAGCTGAGGGACAGTGCCCAGGCCCAGAGTTCAGGCCCCACAACTGGACCTCCCCCCCCAAAAAATAAAACAGCTCAAGTAGAGTGCACATGCGTGGGGCAAGCATGCACATGTACAGATTGGCACTTGATAGTCCAATTGAGAAGACTTTAATAAACTGTTTACAGAGCTGTAGACAGGATTAAGGAAGCCAGTGAGGGTGTGGCAGCTAGCAATAGTGGGAAATTGCTCTCACTCTACCATTCCTGCCCATATTTATAGCCACAACCAGCAAAACAAACAGTCAGGGGACAGGGAAGGATTAGTACCCCAGTCTCTTTCTCATCCTGCCTTGATTCCTTACTTGTAGTTCCCATTGGCCAAACGCTCAGGCTATGTACCCCACGAAGGTTGGCTCTCCAGAGCACAAAAGGATGGAGAATAAGTGGGAGAGGGAAACAAATGGAGAATGAGCTGCGGATTCCTGAAGAGCAGTGTGATTCCATCATTGGAGGGAGCTGGGGAGAACCTCTAGGGGGCGGGGCAGGGGGTACTGGAAAAACTCAGGCTCTCCACTCTGTTCTTCATCAGGTCTTCACACGGTATGGAAAGTGCTACACATTCAACTCAGGCCGAGATGGGCGGCCTCGGCTGAAGACCATGAAGGGTGGGACTGGCAATGGGTTGGAGATCATGCTGGACATCCAGCAGGATGAGTACCTGCCCGTGTGGGGGGAGACTGGTATGTCACACTTCTCACCACCCCCCCCCCTGCCTTGTTGTTCCTGGCCCCCACTTCTACTAGGCCTCCAGTCTGGGACCTGATACAGGGATCGGTCTCCATCTCCATCTCTGAATCTACCTGACGTCCACACTCTCATTTCCCTGACTCCCCCCTCCCCTTCCTGTCTCAGTTACTCTCCAAGGTAACCAGCCATCCTCTTCCATCAGCAGCCGCCACTCACTCTATAAATAACTCCCTCTCTTCTTGGGCTGACTGCCTGTCTTGGTCTCAGGGGGCCTTGGGGGCAGGGGGGGGGAGGAGGAAGGAGAAAGGGAGGAGAATTGGAGCAAGTATCTGAGACTGTGATACTCTGGGAGAATTTGAAATCTTAAAACTTAGCAAACACCAGATAAGAAAAGAAATGTGTTGAATGCATGTCATTGAAGCCGCATGGAGCTGGTAACCCCAAGAGGCTGGGGAGTAGGCTCAGACCCCAAAGATAACCTCCCACTCAGTCCTAATGCTTAACTTCTGGGGAAGGTCATATGCCTTCCTTGTCCCCAGCTCTGAAGGAGATTAGGGCTCAGGAGCCCTCCCAACCCACATCCCCTTTGTTCCCATAGACGAGACGTCCTTCGAAGCGGGCATCAAAGTACAGATCCACAGTCAAGATGAACCTCCTTTTATCGACCAGCTGGGCTTTGGTGTGGCCCCAGGCTTTCAAACCTTTGTGTCCTGCCAGGAGCAGCGGGTGAGAGGGTGGAAGGCTGCTTCTAGGGTGGGGTTGTGAGGGGTTCAAGATGAAGTGGTTAGAAGTCAAGCACTAGTGGCTCCCGCCTATAATCCTAGCTATTCAGAAGGCTGGGATCTGAGGATCATGGCTTAAAGCCAGCTCAGGAAGGAAAGTCTGTGAGACTTTCATCTTCAATTAAATACCAAATAAACCTGGAAGTTGAACTGCAGCTCAAGTGGTAGAGGGCTAGCTTTGAGCAACGGAAGTTCAGGGACAGCACCCAGGCCCAGAGTTTAAGCCCCAGGTCTGACACACACACACACAAAAAGAAGAAAGATAGAGCGGTAGGTGGTTGATAACAGGAGGAACAGGTGAGCTACAGCAAGGATGATAAGCAGCATGAATGACCTACAAACTCTGAGATTTTCAGAGGCCATGGAGGGGAAGGGGGTAGGGCTCCCCAATTCGGCATCTTGTCAGAGAAGTCCATCAAGGTGACTTGGGGGGAAGAGGTCCCCACACTTTCCCAGCTCCCCGCTCTCCCAGCAGCTCATCTACCTACCCCCGCCCTGGGGCACCTGCAAAGCTGTTACCATGGACTCGGATTTCTTCGACTCCTACAGCATCACCGCCTGCCGCATCGACTGTGAGACTCGGTACCTGGTGGAGAACTGCAACTGCCGGATGGTGCACATGCCAGGTCAGGCCTCCAGGCTCCCAGCACTTATCCTGCCCCTCCACAACTCCTTCCCATCCGTCCTCCTCCCCACGCCCACTCCTTACCTCTCTCATCATCATCTGACCTTGGTCCCTGCCTGTGCCCACAGGGATGGGTGGCAGGAAGGGTAGACTCTGCCATCACAACCCCTTTAAACTCCACCCTGCAACCACTGTCTTCTCCTCCAGGGGACGCCCCATACTGCACTCCAGAGCAGTACAAAGAGTGTGCAGATCCTGCCCTGGGTGAGTCCTTCCCCCCGCCCCGCCCCACCCCTCACCCCTGCCCTTATCCTGGAGCACTCAGAATGCAGCCACATGCATAAGGGTCTCAGTCTAGACAGCTCTGATCCACTGCATCCACACACGTGTCTGTCTTGAATGCTGAGAATAGCATTTTCACAGGTCCCTATGGAAAATGAACAGGGTGGGAAGGGCCTCCAGTCTCTTTCATAAGTAACTCAAGATGGCGACCATCACAGATCCTCAGGGAATGGCACATAGGCAGAATACATACTTATGAGAGACAGGGTGGGCACGAGGCTGAGGGAAAAGGACAGGTCAGGAAAACGGAAGTCTGCTCAGGGGCCCTTGGTGGGGGCAGGGCCAGAATCTTTCTGTTGAGAGTTGGTGGCAGAAGGATATCACTCAACCAGCGCCTGTCACCTGGCTGGGCACAGACTTCCTGGTGGAGAAGGACCAAGAATACTGCGTGTGTGAAATGCCTTGCAACCTGACCCGCTATAGCAAGGAGCTGTCCATGGTCAAGATCCCCAGCAAAGCCTCCGCCAAGTACCTGGCCAAGAAGTTCAACAAGTCTGAGCAGTACATAGGGTAAGAGCTCCACAGTGCTGGGCAAGGTCTGTGGACAGGGACAGTGGAGGGTATGAGTGGGCTTTGATGAGGGCTCAGCAGGCAAGAGAAAGTTGAGATAAACCCAGGGAAGACACACTTGCAACCAAAGTGTGTGGGCTGGGAGGTGTACAGAGAGAAAACCAGGCCAGAACAAGCAATGGAAAGACTCTCTGTCCTCTCTCCTCACTTTACACTGTCTCCACCCTCATGCTGTATTTAGGATCTCCTCCCTCTGCCAGTATGTAAAGCATCTTTTCCTCTATGCCATTTCATCCAATCCTCACAACTCTAGAAGGCACTTGTCCATCTGCATCTCATTTTGTGTATATATGTGTGCCAGTCCTGGGGCTTGAACTCAGGGCCCGAGTGCTATCCCTGGGCTTTTGTGCTGGAGGCTATAGCTCTACCGCTTGAAACACAGCTCCACTTCTGGCTTATTTTCACGATAGTCTCATAGATAGTCTCATAGAGTTTCCTGCCCAGGCTGGCTTCAAACTCTCATCTTCAGATCTCAGCTTCCTGAGAAGCTAGGATTATAAGCATGAGCCACCAATGCCCAGCTTGGATCTTGTTTTGTGGGTACAGAAACAAATTCAGAGAGGCTAACTTGCTATGGTCACCTGGCTAGCAAGAGGCAGAGATAGGACTTCAACCTAGGTCTTCTCCTCCCTACCCCTGTACAGGGAGAACATTCTGGTGCTGGATATTTTCTTTGAAGTCCTCAACTATGAGACCATTGAGCAGAAGAAAGCCTATGAGATTGCAGGGCTCCTGGGTGAGCTTCTGATGTCACTTGTCATGGGATCCCTACCACCCAAACCAGGGTGTTTATTCTGCCCCATCCCTGGGGGCCTTTCCCCCAACCCTGTGGTGTGGCATGCAATGGGGGAAGGGGATGGGCAAAGAGGAAAACGTAGCTGCCCCTTGGACAGAGGATAGGGTATAAGTGGAGACTAAGAGTTTGGGGATATTTTGTAAAGTCCTTTTCCCTTAAAAAATCTTTTTCATCTCAAAAAAGTAGAAAAATGTTAAAAAAAAAAAAAAAAGGTGTAGAGAAGCAAAGAGAAATGCTGTGAGGATCTGGTTTTGCAACACTTCCTAAGAAGGCTGTTAATCCCTTTGTGAATCTGGCTGGCCTGCCCTAGCCCCACCGAGCCCTACTGTCCCCATGGGGTCCTGAGCCCCTTCACCTCCCTGCCATCCCCACCCCCACTTCCACAGGTGATATTGGGGGCCAGATGGGGCTATTCATCGGAGCCAGTATCCTCACTGTGCTGGAGCTCTTTGACTATGCCTATGAGGTAAAGGGGGGGGAGAGGGGCAGCGGGAGGGGGCTATAGAGGAGCAGGGCTCCAGTCCACACCCCACTCTGCCCTTCTTAGGTAATTAAGCACAAGCTGTGCAGAAGAGGCAAATGCCAGAAAGAGGCCAAGAGGAGCAGCGCAGACAAAGGCGTGGCCCTCAGCCTGGATGACGTCAAAAGACATGTGAGGGACCAGGGCAAGGGGCACCCTGCAGCCAGACCCTTCCTCCACCCCCCCATAAACACCCCCTCTCCCAGAGACACCTTCTCCTTTGGCTCCCTAGGTCCTCATAACCAGTCCTCTTCTGTGTCTTTCCCCTAGAACCCCTGCGAGAGCCTCCGGGGCCATCCGGCCGGGATGACGTATGCTGCCAACATCCTACCTCACCATCCGGCCCGAGGCACATTTGAGGACTTTACCTGCTGAGTCCCGCAGGCCACTGTACCAAAGGCCTAGGTGGGGAGGGCGAGGAGAGCAAAGGGGCCCCAACTGCCCCCCCACATCTGCCCTGAGGACTCACCCATACTCCTGGGCAGCCCTTTTCCTCTTGCCTGGGTGAGGAAGGAGTCTTGACCTTAGAAGACCTCTCCCTGCCTCTATCTCATTCTTTTTATTTTAACAAAACTAAACTAATCTTGAAAAAGAAAAAAGAGAGAGAGAGAGAAAACCTTGGCAAAGGACCTCAGGCTGCCCCTCCCTGCTCCATGCTGCCACCCCTAGCTCCCAGCCTGAGTTCTGTCTGTCATCTGAGTGTCCACCTACATTCTGCTGCCACCAGTCACCAAAGTCCCCTCCCAGTGAGGGGTAGAGGGGATCCCTGGGGCCTGGAATTCAGGCCCCAAACCAGAGAATGTACCTTAAGGGGGGGAGGGCTATTGAGGGGGCTTCCCCAGCCTTAGGAGACCCTCTCAGACCAGTGACTTCCCCCCTCCCCCGTCCATTACCCCCCCCCCAAGCTCATCTCCAGGCAGAAAAATAAATCTCCAGTCCCGCTCCCTCACACTATGTGAAGTTTCTGGGGGGAGGGGAGGGGTCAGGGATCCCCTGAAGAAGTGGAGAAGAGAACATGATGTGGCTCCGGTGCTGAAGGCCACATCCTAAATCCCTATGAGCTCTCCCCCACTCCAAAGCTGCTGGAGAGACTTCCTTCCCAGAGGCAGCCTTCCTCCACATCCCATAAAAGACCTGGCTGGTTAGCTTCCAGCTCAGGGAGAGGGGCACTGGTGCCTGACCTCACTGGCCTCCCTCCCAGAGGCCCTTGCAAAGGGCCACATCCATAAATTTTCTTATGGAACACTCCCAAGTCTTCTTCTCCAGCTTCATTTGCTTCTTTCGACAACCTCATCTGCATTTTCTATTTCTATATGATACAGACTCTATATTGCTATATCTCTGTATATACTTTCCTCTAACCCTGTCTGTCTCCATCCTTTTGTCTCAGAGAACCATCTTCCCAGATATTCCCACCCTCCCCCTCCAAAAAGAAGTTCCTCCTTCTGTGTTTCTCCCCTGTTCCTGGTCTCTGAATGCCTTCGCCTGTATAAACAGTTGGACTCTCCCCTGGTGTCTGTACTGTGTACACACATCCCTCTGAGAAGCACAAGGAGACGACACACGCATTGTAACCTTCGCACTGTCTTGGTGGCGACATAAAGGAAGCTGTGAATCACAAGCTCTGCCTCTTTCTGGCCTCACCCTCTCCCCCCAATCCCAGGTACCCTCTGCCCTCCCTGCAGCCTTAACATTCCCTTCCCCTGCTCCTCCTATCCCAATGTCCTTTGCCTGGCTGACTGTGGTCTCCCCAAGAAAGAAGTGCTACAGAGGTAGCCCCACGTAGGGGGGTAGAGAATTATGCTGGACACTAAGTCAAGAGACAGAAGGGAGCTGCGGATTGGTGACTCCCACAGCTAGGGCAGTGGGTGCCCACAGGAAGAAGTTGAGGTCTTCAGTCAGTGGCCTTTCCCTCCTTCTGGGTTCCCAGCCTCCCTTCCTCACCTGATGTCCAACCAAGCCCACCTGGTGAGTCAGGGTTTGGTCATGGGAGGAAAGAGGCAAGACCTAAAGGGGGAGTTGAAAGATTTGCTGTTCTGTCTCCCTACAAGTAAGGGGTTGGGCCTGTCCCAACCCCTCCACCAGGCACTCCTCACAAGCCAGAGCCCTAACCCTTTTCCAGGCCTTCTCTGTCCAGCTGTCTCTTGGTGTACACTCCCAGAACAGTGCCTGTGGGCAGTTCATCTGCATTGGTCTGGAGCTGGAGAGTGAGACTATAGGATCTTTGAGAACTTCTTGATTTCTAAAAGTTCCTTAGAAAACAGCCTTTCCAAAGGGAAGAAAGAGCAAGGCCAAAAGTGTGCACTAGATGGGGGTCAGTAGGCAGGGCCCTGGGTGACGCATGACTCTGGTCTAATAAACTGGGTTTCAACCATCTCCTCTTCAGTGTTGTTCTTTTTATTTGAGAAGTTTTTAGGTATTCCCACTAAAGCTGAGATTGGCATGAGACCACACTATGAGGGGAGGAGTAAGAAAAGATCTGATCATGGTTTGAAACACTAGGCAGGAAAAGAGGGAAGGGATTGAACACAATATATTTCCCAAAGGTAAGTCTCAGCACAGAAGGATTCTTTGGAGAGGTGGCAATGTCAAAATTCCAGATAAACTGGAACCTAAAATCTGGAAGCAGAATAGGTTACAAAGGTGAAAAAGGAAATGGGTTGCAGTTCCCACAAGAGGAAATCATTGAGGCAACTATTTATGGAATGGATCCTGGGCTGCCAAGCACAAGACGAGTTGAGGACCACTCTACCACTTGCTACCTTGAAAGTTCATCATTTACCTCCTTCGAATCCAGCTTTTTCATCTGTAAAATACAATAAACAGCTTGTGCAGATGACTCAGGCCTGTAATCCTAACTACTCAGGAGGATCTGAGGATCTTGGTTCAAAACCATCCCAGGCAAGAAAATCCATGAGGCTTTTATTTCCAACTAACCACCAAAAAGTTGAAAATGGAGCTGTGGCTCAAGTGATAGAAGGCCAGCCTTGAGCTAAAAAGCTAAGAGACAGTAGGACCGGAGTTCAAGCCCCAGGAGCGACACAAGCGCACACACACACACACTGCAATAAGCAGTACGCTTCCCTTTTCGGCCACCCTCACTGAAAGCAGCAAGGGAATGAAACGAAAAAGAATCAGAGAGCTGAAATGCACCGCAGCAAGGCGAAGCTGTCCCTCCCAGCCCCACTCTCCATCAGAAAGCTAGCGTTAGGGCATTGGAGGGCTATGTTCCTCCGGACGGCCTGGGGGCGCCCGTTCACGCGGCCTCTCTATCCCCGCGCTCCTCTCTATGGTGCTCTCGCCCCGACCACGAAGGTGGGGATGGGAGGGGGGGGGTCATCACACCCTTTTCGCTAGGCGCCTCCTCTAGCCCGTCGTCTCGTTGCTCCTGAGCCTCCCGTGCCTGCCCGCCCGCTGGGCACACAAACAGGCAGGCGCTCGGGGGGCGCGCGGGGGGGAGTTCCGGTTCCGGTTCTTTGTGCAGCTGCCTCGGCGGCTCCGGGAAGATGGCGGCCCGGGCGGGTTTCCAGTCTGTGGCACCGAGCGGCGGGGCCGGAGCCTCAGGAGGGGCGGGCGCGGCAGCTGCTCTGGGCCCGGGCGGAACTCCCGGGCCTCCGGTGAGAATGGGTCCGGCGCCGGGTCAGGGGCTGTACCGTTCCCCGATGCCCGGGGCGGCCTATCCGGTGAGTGGGGCAGGAGGAGGGGCGCGCGGGCCGGGGGCGGGGCCGAGCCGGGGCCTGGGAGTGACAGGGATGGGGGAGGAGCAGGAGGGACTCCCCTGAAAGGGGTTCTGGTCCTGGGTTGGGGGTGGGGAAGGCAGTTAGCATCCTCCCGCCGCCCCCCCCCATACACCCTGCTCCCACAAGCATTGTTTCAGTGGGGAGTCAGTGTAGAGTCGGGGAGATGCAGTGGGGCTTGGGATGGCCATGAAGAGCAAAGAGGGGCTTGGAGGAACACCCAACTTGTAGTTGCAAATTGAGGTCAGCTTCAAAAGAGATTGAAGCCAACCGAGTGGGTGGAGGACTAGAGGAGTTGTCTGATGAGTCCGATTGAGGAGAAAATTTGAATGTAATATAGCTGTCTTAATAGTTCCTGGGTCCTAATTTCCATAGATTGGAACTGGGGCAGAGGATGGTCCAGTTACCTATATTTCAAAGAAGCAGAGGGCTCCCGCTCTCTTGTCATTATCCTCCAACCTACCCACCAGCTTTGTTCCATTCAAAGAATTCAGGCTCCTACCTCCCAGTTTTCCATTCTTGGTGGGGTTAGTTGGCAGGGGAAGCTATGACATCTCTGGGTCCTTTCCTCTCTGTAGAGACCAGGTATGCTGCCAGGCAGCCGAATGACACCTCAGGGACCTTCCATGGGACCTCCTGGCTATGGGGGGAACCCTTCAGTCCGACCTGGCCTGGCTCAGTCCGGGATGGACCAGTCCCGCAAGAGACCTGCACCTCAGCAGATCCAGCAGGTCCAGCAGCAGGCGGTCCAAAATCGAAACCACAAGTAAGATGACCTGGGTGGAGGAAGGGAGGGGCAAGGAGGCCTGTGAAGATTCAGGTGGTGGGAGAATTGGTGAAACTGTTATCAGCAGGTGATGCTGCAGGGGCTCACCATTAAGAATGCCTGGTGGTGGTGGTAGTGGTGGTGGAGCTAATGATGGGAGGGCGGGGAAGGGGGGGGGGTTCTTCTATTTGAGAAAAAGCTTTGCAGGCCCTCACTTTACAATAAAGGAAGGTGTTGATGGCTAATTTTTCATGTTCTGACTCATTCTATCCCAACCTGATAACAGTATTTATTCTGAACAGTGCAAAGAAAAAGAAGATGGCTGACAAAATTCTACCTCAAAGGGTGAGTCCAATTTCTATGTCTTCTTGAAGGTGTGGTGAGTTTGAGAATAGAGATGGTCGTCAGCCTTACATCCCAATCATATCTTTTCTATTTTGAAGATTCGTGAACTGGTACCAGAATCCCAGGCCTATATGGACCTCTTGGCTTTTGAAAGGAAACTGGACCAGACTATCATGAGGAAACGGCTAGATATCCAGGAGGCCTTGAAACGTCCTATCAAGGTAACGCAGGAAAGCACTAGGCAGATAGCCAAAGGAGAAAACCTTCATCAAGCTTAGGATGAAAAATCTTGGCATTTAAATTGTATTGCTTTGGCTGGGCACTGGTAGCTCAGACCTGTAATCATAGCTACTAAGGAAGCCGAGATCTAATGATTATGGTTCAAAGCCAGCCCAAGCAGGAAAGTCCATGAGAGTCTCTCCAGTTAACCAGCTAAATTTGGAGCTGTGGCTCAGAGTAGCAAAGTAACAGGCTTGAGCAAAAAAGCTCAGGGACAGTGCCCAGGCCCTGAGTTCAAGCCCCATGACCAACAGAAAACAACAGTAAGATGGCACTGGTGGCATACGCCTGTAATCCTAGCTACTCAGGAAGCTGAGATCCGAGGATCATGATTCAAAGCCAGCCTGAGGAGGAAAGTGGGTCAGACGCTTATCTCCAATTAATCACCAGAAAACCAGAAGTAGAGCTGTGACTCAAAGTGGTGGAGCACTATCACTGAGCACAAAAGCTCAGGGCCGGCGTTCAAGCTCCATGACGGAAAAAAAAAGGACAGAACAGCAAGATGGGGGTGGGGGTTGGTGTTTTTACTATGATGGCTCTGCTACATTGGGAACCTGGCACTATGCATGACTTTTTCCACCTGGCATCCCAGGGACAGTAAGCCAATCTATTAGGAGTAATTTTGGGGTTTGGGGAGACTCTTGTCTTCAGCATCAAACCATTGAAGCCCCATTATCAATCTTGTTTCTGCTTTCTTCAGCAAAAACGGAAGCTTCGTATTTTCATTTCTAACACTTTCAATCCGGCCAAGTCAGATGCCGAAGATGGGGAAGGGACCGTGGCTTCCTGGGAGCTTCGGGTAGAAGGACGGCTCCTGGAGGATGTGAGTTCAAGATCTACAGTGGTCATGGTTGATGTGTAGGGTGGGAACTGCTGGGACTGAGCAGTGTTGTCCAAGCTGCAAGAAGCCTTACTGGTTTTTACAGCTCCTGCCGAGAGTATCGGACAGGGGGACACTCTGTTCTCTGCACAGAAAGACAATGGTCCTTTATATTTATTCCCATAGTTTGGTCATCACTGGTATCAAAAACCTTATTGTCTTGGGGTTTGATTTGTTATTTGCCTTACTCCTGATTCTGCTGGCCATTCAATTTAGCAGTATTCATAGATTAGTTAGGTAGGGTTTGGGGGTGGGTTGGTTGTATTGTGTTTTAGTTTTTATTTTAAGTTCTTAAATCCTTGATTCCTACTGTGACATTTCCAGCTTTCGTTGGAGATGCCCCACAGTTTAAGTCGGGTAGATTTCTCTGACAAGGTCTTTATTACTTCATGGGGAACGTTAACAGACAGGGGGTAGCCCTCAACTTCCCACCCCAGCAGCTCCTTAGGGAAGCTCACCTTTCTTTCCTTTCCTTGCACTCTCTGGCTCTATTTTTAGCTGCTTGCAGGCAAGCTGATTTGAATGCATTTTGCAGAACTAGGACTCAATGTTAGAGCCTCCATCATCTCTATATAGGTCTAGTCCATCTGCTGATTATGTCATTCCGTCCAAATAAAGCTGTTTTTGTTCTGGCTGGTTACTGCCTGTGATTCATTTCCCCTCTACAGTCAGACTTTCTCTGTTCAGATGTGCTTTATGTACAACAGTTTGGCTTAGCTTGCCTCATAGCCCTTAGGGAAATGAAGTAGATAAGTGACTTTGTCCTTATAAGCTGCTTCTTCGGGGTTCTACTGATATCATGACTAGGGTTTTTCTTTTTTCTTTTTGTCTTTGTTTTTTCTGGTACCAAGATTTTAACTTAAGGCCTTGAGCTCCTGCTTGGCTTTTTCATTCACAGCTGATGCTCTACCACTTGAGTAATGCCTCCAGACCAGCATTTTGCTGGTTAGTTGTATATAGAGTCTCAGACTTTTCTGCTTGGGCTAGCTTTGAATCTCAGTCCTCAGATCTCAGCCTCCTGAGTAGCTAGGATATACAAGTGTGAGCCACTAGTGCTAGGTAGAGGCCTACTTTTCCATTTCTTAAGAGACAGAAGATGTTCTTGATTCCCCCCCATTGTTATTGTGGGTGGTTTTAATAGGGCTTTGTCTTGGCAAAGGTTTTTTGGCCTTTTCTAACATGACCTTTCCTATCTCTCTTCCAGTCAGCCTTGTCCAAATATGATGCCACCAAACAAAAGAGGAAGTTTTCTTCCTTTTTTAAGTCCTTGGTGATTGAATTAGACAAAGACCTGTATGGACCAGACAACCATCTGGTAGAAGTGAGTACTTATGCCTTGTAGGCTCTGATTCTGGTTGGAGGATGATGGACTTGAGAG